AGGACACTTCTGAGTCTATCCCTTCCGTTATGTCGTTCACATATACCAAGAACAGCACAGGTCCTAGGACTGACCCCTGTGGAACCTAGCTTGTCACAGGCGCCCACTCTGACACCTCGTCGCATACCATGACTCGTTGTTGCCTCCCTGTCAGGTATTCTCTGATCCATTGCAGTGCCTTTCCTGTGTGTGTGTGTGTGTGTGTGTGTGTTAGTTACCATTTGGTCCTAGGCACATGTCGATTAGACACTTGGCCTGTTGTATGTGCATGCATGTGTGTGTGTGTGTGTGTGTGTGTGTGTGTGGTGTGTGTGTGTGTGTGTGTGTGTGTGTGTGTGTGTGTGTGTGTGTGTGTGTGTGTGTGTGTGTGTGTGTGTGTGTGTGTGTGTGTTGTGTGTGTGTGTGTGTGTGGTGTGTGTGTGTGTGTGTGTGTGTGTGTGTGTGTGTGTGTGGTGTGTGTGTGTGGTGTGTGTCTTGTTTTGTGTGTGTGTGTGTGTGTGTGTGTGTGTGTGTGTGTGTGTGTGTGTGTGTGTGTGTGTGTGTGTGTGTGTGTGTGTGTGTGTGTGCCTAATTGTGGTTGCAGGGCCAAGACTCAGCTGCTGGCCATGCCTCTTCACTGATCGCTACTAGGTCCTCTCTCTCTCTCTGCTTCCAGAGCTTTGTCATACCTCATCTTAAAGCTATGTATGGTTCCTGCCTCCACTACATCACTTGCTAGGCTATTCCACTTCCTGACGACTCTATGACTGAAGAAATACTTCTTAACATCCCTCTGACTCATCTGAGTCTTCAGCTTCCAATTGTGATCCCTTGTTTCTGTGTCCCCTCTCTGGAACAACCTGTCTCTGTTTACCTTATCTATTCCATGCAGCATTTTATATGTCATTATCATGTCTCCCGTGACCCGCCTGTCCTCCAATGTCATCAGTCCAATTTCTCTCAACCTTTCTTCATAGGACATACCTCTGAGCTCTGGAACTAGCCTTGTTGCAAATCTTTGCACTTTCTCTAATTTCTTGACGTGTTTGACCAGGTGTGGGTTCCAAGCTGGAGCTGCATACTCCAGTATGGGCCTGATGTACACAGTGTACAGTGTCTTGAACGATTCCTTACTAAGGTATCGGAATGCATTTCTCAGGTTTGCCAGGCGCCCATATGCTGCAGCAGTTATCTGGTTGATGTGTGCCTCCTGAGACATGCTCGGTGTTATGGTCACCCCAAGATCTTTCTCCTCGAGCGAGGTTTGCAGTCCTTGGCCACCCAGTCTATACTCTGTCTGCAGTCTTCTTTGCCCTTCTCCGATCTTCATGACTTTGCATTTGGCAAGGTTGAATTCGAAAAGCCAGTTGCCGGACCATGTGTCCAGCCTGTCCAGGTCTCTTTGAAGTCCTGCCTGATCCTCATCTGATTTAATTCTCCTCATTAACTTCACATCACCTGGGAACAGGGACACCTCTGAGTCTATCCCTTCCATCATGTCATTCACATATACCAGAAATAGCACTGGTCCTAGGACCGTCCCCTGTGGGACCATGCTCGTCACAGGTGCCCACTGTGATACTTCATCTCGTACCATGACTCATTGTTGCCTCCCTGTCAGGTATTCTCGGATCCATTGCAGTGCCCTTCCTGTTATACGCGCCTGATCCTCTAGTTTCTGCACTAGTCGCTTGTGAGGAACTGTTTCGAAGTGTGTGTGTGTGTGTGTGTGTGTTACTCACCTAATTGTACTCACCTAATTGTGGTTGCAGGGGTCGAGACTCAGCTCCTGGCCCCGCCTCTTCACTGACCGCTACTGGGACCTCTCTCTCCCTGCTCCATGAGCTTTATCATACCTCATCTTAAAACTATGTATAGTTCCTGCCTTCACTACATTGCTTGCCAGACTATTCCACTTCCTAACAACTCTGTGACTGAAGAAATACTTCCTAACATCCCTTTGACTCATCTGAGTCTTCAGCTTCCAATTGTGACCCCTTGTTTCTGTGTCCCATCTCTGGAACATCCTGTCTCAGTCCACCTTGCCTATTCCATGCAGTATTTTGTATGTTGTTATCATGTCTCTCCTGACCCTCCTGTCCTCCAGTGTCGTCAGACTGATTTCCCTTAACCTTTCTTCATAGGACATTCCCCTTAGCTCTGGAACTAGCCTTGTTGCAAACCTTTGCACTTTCTCTAATTTCTTGACATGTTTGACCAGGTGTGGGTTCCAAAATGGTGCAGCATACTCCAATATGGGCCTGACGTACACAGTGTATAAAGTCTTGAACAATTTCTTACTGAGGTACCGGAACGCTATTCTCAGGTTTGCCAAGCGCCCTTATGCCGCAGCAGTTATCTGGTTAATGTGTGCTTCTGGCGATGTACTCAGTATTATACTCACTCCTAGAGCATTGCCTACCAGGCAACTGTTTAAACAGACACTGTAAAGGCTCACAGCAACCAGGTTAACTACTGAAACATATGCACCTAGTCCAATTTAACCAGTATATTTTGTCTTTGTCTCCATAGGGAAGTGGAAAAGAATTCTTCCTCTGCAAGCCATGTGTGTCATTAGGAGGTGACTAAAATGCCAGGAACAAGAGGCTAGTAAGTCCTTCTCCAGTATAAATTACTAAATTTTAAAAAGAAAACCCTTTCGTTTTTCTTGTTAGGTCACTCTGCTTGAGTAGGATATGGAGGATGTGTTGAAAAAATAAGTGTAGACTACATTTTGTATACTACAGAAAGAAATAGAGATTGTTTGTTTGTAAATAACAAAAAAGCACAATACCGTGACTGGAACGATACATAAATAACCCGCACATAAAAGAGAGAAGATTATGACGACGGTCCAAGTCAGACCGAAACGTCGTCGTAAGCTTCTCTCTTTTATGTGCGGGTTATTTGTGTATTGTTTGTTTGTTTGTATTACTACAAAATAAAGTGTTCTAATATATCACTTTTTACAGATGTGCAATTATGAGGACTGCCAGTGGGAATCTAGCTATTAACCCTTGGTGTTCCATTCTCTCCTTCACTTTAATTAATGATTACAATAAGCTCTTGATTAATGGACCTCAATTTAACAAGACCTTGAAAAAATGGGACAAAATTCTCTGGGTCAACTGATTCATAAACATAATAAAGTCTGCTGGTTACAGAATTGTTCATTGTTATGATCACTGTTATTTCAATGGAAATAAATAATTTTGACTTTTTTGGGGATTATCCTAGGTAATTTACATATATGTTAAACTATGCAAGATAATTGTACTTATGTGTACCTGCACCTAAATAAACTTACTTTCTTACTGGCCATCCACTCTCCTGTATTAGTTCATTAACCCGTAAACGTCCAAGCAGATCTACGTTCACATGTGTAGTGCTACAAAAGTAGATCTATGTTTTTTTACATATTTTCAAATATAACCAAAAAAATAAAAATAGATGATCAAAGTTTTTTTACACATTTTCAAATGTAAAAAAACAAAAAGAAGATCTACTTTTTTTACATACTTTCAAATGTTGAAAAATGTATACAGTTGGACGCGATAACGTTCAACTCCAATGGTCGCAATTAAAGTAAGATTCATTTAATTTTAAGAATGGTTGTCTGTGAATTTTGGGGGTCTGATTAATGGACTAATCACTTACACATCATGTCCGTTATGGTAACAAATATTTCTGTCAGTTTCTACATTCTGAAATTTTCTCTCCCGGAAAATGGGAAAAAATTCGTTTACCATACAATGTAAAAAATAAAATGCTGGGAGTTAACGGGTTAATAACCCTTTATGTATATTGAACGTAAAAGAAAATTTTCTTCATTTTTCCACATTATAAAAAAATGTTTTGTCTTAGTGCACAAGGTTCATTAGATAAACCAGTATGCTCTTGCTTTAGTTACCAAAATTAAGGTCAATTAGGATCAGTACTCAGTTTTAAAGTATCCCATTACACTCTATGAGTATCTTTCTATTATCTAACATTCTTGTCTTTGTTATTTCATCTCACAGAAATGAAAAAAGAATCCGTTTTCCATAAGCAATGTAAAACAACTAAAATGCTGGGAGCAAGGGGTTAATAACCCCTTTTGTATAAATTACTGAACGTAAAAAGAAAAATTTTTGTTTTTCGTTTTTGGTCGATCTACCTCGGTGGGAGATGGCCAGTACATTATAAAAAAAATTTTTGTTCTTCAGTGCGAAGGTTACAGGTTAGGTGAAACCATAGTTTGCTCGTTGCTTTTAGGTTACCAAAGAATTTAGAAGTGGGTTTTGTTAATTAGGATTAGTACCAATATCTCTTCCAATGTCATCCCATTTACATCTCTATGCAGAATATCATTTTTAATTATCTAATATTAGAAAGATTAGCAATATTGTTACTTCATGCTTATCAGATCTCAAAAAAAGTGTATCATTCAAAACTGTGCACATGTGGAATCTAAAAGTCATTGAGTTTACAGGTGCAAATACACAAAGGATCTGCTGACTTCTGCCTACTTGACAGCAGCTCACACTTTCTCTATATCACACTAACTTAAGTGAACAGAGTTCTTTTCCCACAAAAGTAAGGCAAAATTGCAAATGGCATATGAAATGTCTGATTTAGTTTCTTTGCAACAGAAACACCACTGGTTTTGATTCTATTCAGAATGGCAAACAGTTTTAAAATATACATTATTAGTAATGAACAAAAAGTCACAATACCGTGACTGGAACAATACACAAATAACCCCCACATAGGAGAGGGAAGTTTATAACAACGTTTTGATCTTGGCCCATTTACATGTCACACTTGTAAATGGTCCAAGTCAGACTAAAGCATCGTCATAAACTTCTCTCTCCTATGTGTGGGTTATTTGTGTATTATTTTTAATATTTAGTAATATAAGCAAGTATTAAGACTAAGTACTGCCTTGGCAAGGTATTGCAGATCCTTTCAAATAAAAAAGCAAAGCCCTTTACAAAATTAGGCAGGAAATGACTATGATCTAATTATATTTACAGTCTTACCTGGACAGCATGTTGGAGACATTGGACATACTGAATACATTGGAAAACATTCCTGCTTTGTTCCCATCAGGTCCATCTGCAGTAATAGGGCCTCCCACTCCACCAGCAGGTGGTGCTGATGATGGATGGACTCCCTGCTGCTGTTGCTGATGAGCAATGCTGTCCTTGTCTGCGTTGAAGCTTTCCATCCACGACAGTGGATAAGATAAGCGTTTCAGAACCTATAAGATAACTTAATGTTTTATTCCTCTGAACAAACTGGAACCCATTCTGCAATTATGGTAAAAAGCATTCACTGGAATACAATGCTAGAAAAAGATGGGGATAGCTTAACGGGTTCCTTCAGATCCAATCAGATATGAACAAACTTACCGATTCCTATGAAACTAAAACTAAAATAAAGGCAAGCTATTTACATCACCAAAATTTTGGAAAAATCATTCAGAAAATTAAGATGAAGAATGTAACATTCAAGATATGGTAATATTTTGCCTTTAATACCTTTATTGATCTGATGTGCAAAGGTTCGTAAACAGTACCACACCACAGTTTATACCTTACTCTTAAATCTTTCATTGTCAATTTTAAATTAATCACCACTGATGTGCAAAACATGTTTTGATAATGTAGTTTTTTACCCATGAGTTTTTATTTAAATTAAATTCCATGTGTAATAACATAGGGTAGGCACCCAGTCATAGGTAAAACAAGAATATGAATAAGAGCAAGCCACTAGTAACCCCTTTCCTTGTATAAATTACTAAATGTAAAAAAAAGAAGAAAAACTGTTTCTTCCTTGTCAAGTCATCCTGCCTTGGTCAGAGATGGCCGATGTAAAGATTATATTAACAAAAAATAAGCTGACAATAGTTACAAAAACAGTGTGGGAAGGAAATGCCTTGCACCTCACTCACTGCACATGTCCAGTAGAAAAGCAATGGCTAGAGGCAGCTACCACAGTGAAACAGAACAATGTAATTATTTATTCTATAGATCATATATACATACATGTATATAAAGTATGAATGCGTTAGGTAAAAATTTTAGAAAAAAATATTGATTTAAAATACTTTCTGCTTGAATTTTTGCAATAACCAGAAAAAATTATTTAAAATAGTTTCTGCTTGAATTATTTGCAATAATCATACCAGCAGATCAGCCTTCATAAGTAATTCATTGCTTCCAAAGTACCAATATCATTAGTTCGGAACATTATAAGTCAGATTATTATTATTATAATCAAAAAGAAGCGCTAAGCCACAAGGACTATACAACATTGTAAGTCAGATTATTATTATTATAATCAAAAAGAAGCGCTAAACCACAAGGACTATACAACATTGTAAGTCAGAACTTCGCAAATCAGAGACCTACTGTATAGCATTACATTTAGTATTTGAATAATACCTATAACTAAAAGCAGTGCTATGAGAGACAGAAACAACACTACTTTTACAGCCTAGTGTTAAGAGGTCCGGTTCACTACTAGTACCGAGAATCTGTATTACTCTCTCACCTCTGTCTGGCTCGAATGTAAATCACTCTGAGGTTTTGGGGTTGTTGTGGTTTGAGTGTGCTTTAACAACCTACGTGGAACACTGGAGATGTACCCAGTATCAGTTCTCCACAATCGACTTTGTGATACCCACTATTACCAAAGAAAGGATTTTCCTACATTGTTAGAGATGCAGTAATAATAATAATAATAATAATAATAATAATAATAATAATAATAATAATAAATATTATTATTATTTTCATGTGTAAATTAAATTTAGAGGTAATAAAAATAAGAAAGACTATTTGCATAAACTAAATGAATTTGAATAACATAAGAAAAATATAATCTGAACCTAAATTCTAATTTTAAGAAAATAAAGGCATAATATTCAGCAGAAAAAAACATAATTGCTTTCTTGTTTAATATATTTAACAAAAAACATAAATTATCTCTCAGGGAAAAAGAAAAAAAAAACTGTTGAAACAGAAAATATCAGCTGTATTTCCTACTTACCTTTTGCTTCCGTGATTCTTGCATATTGGCATCACTTCCCATGTCTGGTATGGCCTCTTCACCCTCCCCTGTTAAGTCGAAGGTCACCGAAGTGGTCCTCTTCTTCTCGTTGCACATTAAATCATCTTCCATTTGTTGGTCACCTGAGGTCCAATCAGTTTGAGCAAGGTCCTGAGCAGATATAGTATCACATTCAGTTTGAGCAAGGTTTAGGGGTGCGACCTGAGAGTCCTCTAGACGGCTTGCCTCTGCTATTGGCGTGAGATCTCCAGCAACAGGTACGGCCTGCTGCTGCTGGCCACTGGGGGAAGGCTGACCAGAAGAAGGCTGCCCATCTCCACTAGCTGGAGATACATCGGAACCAATGGGGGTTAGAAGCTCGTGTTCAAAGGCTTTCGGAAACGCTGAACTTTCACGGGTGTCACCCCCGCATGAGCAAGAAGAGTCATTATCATCTTGGGAGGCTGCCAGCTCAGGGAAGGTCGCATCTTTGCTGAGTGATGCATCCTTCCCTGGAGACTCTTGGCTACCAGTGAGTTCCACTTGACTTGGACCCCAGTAGATCTCTGGCTTTGGAATTTCAGGCCTTTATGGATATTAAATTTGTATACTGTAGATTAAATAAACTTAGGTGATCTTAAAAAGCAATAATAATACTCATAACAAATACTGTAACACTTGTAAACTCAGGTATAAGGCATATAACATAATTTAAAAACTAGGTCCTCATTTACTTAATGCTGTAAGATAAGAAAACTACACAAAGAAAATTCCTCTTACTTTGGTATACTGGTGTCCTTGACTCTCATATGAGCTATGTCGTAATAAAGCGCTGCATTCACCACAAATTCCATAGGAGCAATAACTCCATAACTCTCAGGTCCATGTTCAATAACCAGAGGGTCAGACACATTAGGGTCAAACATCACTGCATTTGGAGTCACCAAGAGAACACCTGCCACAACTCCCTAATGGGAAAATCAGAAGAGTATAATGAAAAAATCTATATTAATTAGAATTTTTTAATGTTCTACAAAGACTGTGCTACAGTACTTGTCTCATGAAACACCTATCACTAGTTTGTCTTACTTCAGTTTTCTTTAATATGCCATGCAAGGACACTGCCAACACTTTATATGGTGATTCGTTATCATGCCTATTTTATAGGGCAGTCATGGCAAAATACCCCAAAAATAAATCTTTGTTGTTAGAGAATCCAGCTCACACCCACAAAGACCCAAGTTCAATTCCCTGGCAGAACAAGAGGTATGGGCAAGTCTCCTTGCATCTCCTGCCTCTGTTCACCTAGCAATAAATAGGTACAGAGGTGTCAGGCAACTGTTATGGGCTGTATCTTAACCCTCTGAGGGTCGAGAGGCTCTCCCCCAAACTTGTTCTCATGGTTGAAAAATGTTCGAAAAAAAAATAAATAAATAAATTATTTTTTTCTTATGAAATGATAGAGAATCTTTTTGCGATCATAATGACACCAAAAGTATGAAATTTGATGGAAAATTTATGGAATTATGCTCTCGCAAAGTTAGCGGTCTCAAAGTGGGCGATTTTGCCCACTTTGAGCCCTATTTTCGGCCAAATCCAATGTTGCAGTTGACTAAAATCATAGCTATTTCCCTAGAACTCCATTTGTCCTATCGATTAAGTACAAGAATCCACCCATTTACTGATTTCAACTACCCAATAAAGTGGTCAGAAATTGGCAATTTGGGCAATTTCACACAAATTTCAAAAGATACCAATTTCGAAATAGGGTCCAGAATAAACAAGACAGACATTCATGGCACTAAAATAACATTTTATCTTTTCATTAGTCACGTCTCTAGGCCCCTCTAGCTTTCCATTTTTAATTTTTTTTTTGAAAAATTTTAGAATTTTTAAATGTTTCATGTTTTTGTATAAGTTTACATAAAACAGGAATTTTGAAAGAAAAAATTTTCTCACCCAAAAAGTTTGGAAAAAAATGGAAAAAAAAAAGAAAATGAAAAAGGAAAAAAAAATTTTTTTCCCCTTTGACGGCACCCCCCCTTTCCCCACAATAAATTTAAAAAAACTTGGGTCAACCCGTAAAAAAATTTTTTTGGGGACTCAATTTCAAAAAATTCTTCATTTTCAAAAAAAAAAATTTTTTTTTTTTTCCCAAAAATTTTTACCCAAAAAAAATTAACCCCTGAATAAAAGGGTTAAACCAAAAAAACACATCGAAGCTTTTTTTCATTATGCACAGATGCTTCAGGTTTTTTTTTGTTTTTCCCACACTGACACCATCCCCATTCTTTCATTTACCCCTGCCAGCTTTTTTCCCACCAATTTGAAGGTGCTAGAATTTAGGCGTACAAGTACGTGACTGACCCGGCACAAGATTATACTTGTACGTGACCGACCCCCGGGGGTTTTTTAAGGGGTGTTAATATATGTAGACGGGGGTGGTTTTCCAATATCGAGTCGGGAAGAATTAGAACTATGTAAAAAATCTAAGACATGTTGCTAATACATTTTTCTATAGTTCTGTACACTGGTCATTTCTCTATTTTTAAAAAATATACAGGGGGCCTACTTTTAACACTTTTTTTCGCAGTTGCTAAGCTGTGGTTTTTCAATAATACACATTCTTCAGTTTTTCAGACTTCTTTCAAAAAAGTATTCACCACCAAAATTAATTATTTTTTTCGAAGATTTTTGAGAGGGGGGAAATTGGAAAAGGCCATAGTTATTAACTCTGTTTGGCTCCCCGGGGGTGGGGGGCCCTTGCTATTTTGAAACTGTAGGAAAAGGGGAGGATTCAAGGATTTGTTAAAGAGGTGCAAAGATTTGGGGAAGTACTTGTGATCTTTTTTTGTAATAAAGGGGGGGTAAGGTATTTAAATCCCTCCTTGGTTTTTCATGCGTTGATAATAAAGGGGGAAATTCGTATGGTTAGTCGGACTAGGGAACGGGGTGTTCGGGTAGTTGCCAGTGAGGAGTCATTTTGGGGGATCTGAGCTTGGGGGATTATTGGCAAGGTTTTGATAAGGGGGGGAAAAGAAATCATATTTTTTCATGTAGTAAAATAATAATTACAGAGTGTACCACTAAAACCCAGCATGGCTAGGGATTTTTTGGGAGACTTAATTAAATCTTAAATTTAAAATATTCAAAAAATGAGGGAAGTGGTATTATGGTAAGTGATAAATACTAGTTTGTGAGTTTAGCAATGTGAATGCTTTTGATTTGGCACCATACATAGTTTCAGTATTGGAGTATCACAGGCCAACTTATGACTAGTTAAGATTCATTATTTTGAGATTGAGATTGATATTTCTGTTTATGGTCAAATGGGTGAGTGAGTGTAAGTGTTAACCACCAGTGGTATTCGTGTAATTAGTTGACAGGGTGTATCAGGGAGATAAGATGTTTTTCTGATGGTAGTTTTGAAGGTGATGAATGTGTCTGCAGTTTTAGAATTTTCAGTAGGGTGTTCCAGATTTTAGGGCCTTCGACATACATTGAATTTTTGTAAAGGTTTAGTCGGACACGGGGAATGTCATAGAGATGTTTGTGTCTGGTATTGTGCCTGTGGGTTCTGTCACAACTATCAAGAAAGCGTTTTAGGTCAAGGTTAATATTGGAATTTAAGGTCCTGTAGATGTAGATTGCACAGTAGTAAGTGTGGATGTACTGAACAGGGAGTAAGTTTAGATCTATGAAGAGTGGGGGGTTGTGTTGCCAGGGATGGGATTTGGTGATTATTCTTACTGTGGCTTTTTGTTGGGTTATTATTGGCTTTAGGTGTGTTGCTGCAGTTGAACCCCAAGCACATATAGCATAGGTGAGGTATGGATATATAAGTGAATGGTATAGTGTGAGAAGGGCAGTTTGCGGCATGTAGTATCGTATCTTGGAGAGGATCCCAACCGTTTTGGATACTTTTTTGATTATGTGTTGGATATGGGTGCTGAAGTTCAGGTTGTTGTCGAGGTATAGGCCTAGGAATTTGCCCTCATTATGCCTGGCAATTAGAGTGTTGTCGATCTTAATGTTAATTTGCGCATCTCCTGCTCTGCTACCAAACATAATGTAGTAGGTTTTGTCAGTGTTAAGCGTAAGTTTATTGGCTGTCATCCAAGTCGATATTTTGATCAGCTCCTCATTAACAATGGTGTTGAGGGTGGCAAGATTAGGGTGAGAGATGACATAAGTCGTGTCATCAGCAAAGAGAATGGGGTTCAGGTGTTGAGATACGTTTGGAAGATCATTGATGTATATGAGGAAGAGCAGGGGACCAAGGACATTTCCCTGCAGAACTCCAGTATCAAGTGGCTGTGTTGTTGATGCTCTGTCTTTAATGGTGACATACTGATACCTATTAGTAAGGTAAGATTTGAAATATGCAAGCGCATGGCCTCTTATACCATAATGGTCAAGTTTGTGGAGTAGGATGCCGTGGTCTACTGCGTCAAAAGCTTTTCTTAGGTCAATAAAAATTCCTAGTGGATATTCCTTATTTTCCAATGCTGTGTAAAGCAGATCTAGCATTTTTATGATTGCATCGTTAGTGCTTTTATTTTTCCTGAATCCAAATTGGCAGGGGTTGAGTATGTTTTGTGCCGTTATAAATGAATATAGTCTCCTGTGCACGAGTTTCTCAAAGATTTTGGATAGCAATGGTAAGTTTGATATTGGCCTATAGTTGTTTAAATCTGTAGGGTCACCACCTTTATGTATTGGTGTAACCCTTGCCGTCTTGAGTAGTTTCGGGAAGGTGCTAGTTTCTAGTGACTTGTTAAAAAGTAATGAGATAGCATGCGAGAGGACATGGGCCGCTCTCTTGTACAATAATGGTGGGACATGAGACAGATTCCCTGAGTTATTTTTAAGTGACTTTATAATCTCGGTGATTTCCATGGGCTCAGTTGGAGCAAGATAGAAGGAATTTGGGAAATTCCCATCTAGGTAGTCCCCGGCATGGGCATTGGTGCATGGGATTTTATTGGCGAGATTAGAACCTATGGTTGAGAAGAAGTCGTTTATCTTGTTAGCTGTGTCAGTGGGATGCAGTGGTGTTTCATTAGGTTTAGTTAGGGCAATATTCTTGTTTTTTCAGTTTTTGGGTCCCTAGAATCTGAGAGAGTGTTTTCCAGGTCTTTTTTATATCTCCTCTTGTGTCTGTGAATCTACTGGAGTAGTATAGTTGTTTGGCTTTCTTTATTACTTTGGTGAGGACTGATGAATAGTGTTTAAGAATATCTTTGTGTATTAAGCCCTGTCCATATTGCTTTTCATATTGGTGTTTCTTATCAATGGATTTCAGAATGGTGCTGGTTAGCCATGGGCAACCAAGCCGTTTGTTTGTGATCTGTTTTGTTTTTATAGGACAATGTTTGTTGTATAGTCTAAGTAATTTGTTAAGAAAAATGTCTGTCCAGTCGTCAATACCATTGGCCTTGGAGAATTCTGTAGGCCAGTCAACAGTCTCTAGGTCAGCTGTGAACTTCCTTATTGAGTCCTCATCATGGAGTCTAAATGAAACTTTGTTGTATTCAAGTGGTGGTTTACTAATGTTTGTCAAGAGGAAGGTAGGGTAGTGGGCTGTAGTGCTATCTGTGATTGTCCCTGATTTAAGGGGGGCTAGTATATTGGTCCATATGTGGTCTATTATGGTTGCACTCGTTTCAGTGAGCCTGGTTGGTTTTGTTATTGTTGGTATGAGAAGTGTGTTGTTCATATTGTTGATGAAATCAGTTACAGGCTGATCATCTAGTAGGCCAAGGTTGATGTTGAAGTCTCCAGCTAAGAGAAGGTGGTGCTTATTCATTTGTCTGTTTGTTATTAGTGCCTTTAGTTTCTCACTGAAATTTGGGATGTTTGTAGAAAAATTACGCCTCTATCAATGTTGTTCATCAACTTCAAAGTCCTCAACATAAATATGATTTGGCGGTTGGGAATTTGCGAATATGTGAAGCCCGCGAAAGTT